GCTTGTAACATAGGTTAAATTAGCGACTACTGCCTTTTATTTACTACTGTGATTTGTGGGGAAAGTTTTGTTTGTTTGCTTTTTGTTTTAGCCTTTCAAGTTAAGGAACTATTTGTCAAACGTGTGGAACTGGAAGTATTCAGGAACTCATTAATCTGAGTGTCAAGGGCAAGCCTTCCTTTTAGACCTGTCTAAATATAGATTGAGATCAAGAGCAGTGAGACCCTTACGTTTGGGAAGAGATAAAACTTTCCTCCCTGTAGATCTATGTGTTGACATTGAAGCAGACTGAGTGCATCTTGCAGAGAACTCTGTCGTCGTATGTCTAAGTCCACACTCTAGTCCAGAATTGTCCTCCACTGCTCTGGGGGTGCACACACGGTGAATTCCTTGCTTGGCATTTGCTTCTGGAGCACTCAGTATTGCTAGTACTGGAATCATTTGTGTAGGCTTATCTACCTGATCTTACCTTCCTGTAGCCTGGTTTAGAGCTCTAGCTTCAGGTAAAAGAACAGCTCAATTCAATTTCGTTTGGAATCTAGTATTAAGGAGGAAATAGGGGGTATAAAAAACATAACTACATCTTCAAAAGCAATGAAGAGTAGAATAATTGGGCCTTGGTTCTTGGCTTTGAGATATCTGAATTTGGGTCTTAGCAAAGAAACTGCCTAACTTCTTGGCCAAGAACATTATTTACCTTTTGAAGCCTGTATTTTTCAATCTATCAATGGGACTAATAATACTAGCAAACCCACAGAGTTGTTTGATGTGCTAACCCAAGTATTTAACATTGTATGGGCTATGTGGGCCCTCAATGATTTTTGTAAAACTGCTACAGTAGCTGGATTTTGAAATTTGTATGTCCCCTTTCCACCATTCATCTAGGATCTCTTCCATGTTACCATACTGACAGCAAACATCACCTCATGCTAGGCTTAGGCTTTAGACTACAGTTAACTTGTGTTTATGTGCAGGATTAACCAACTGCTGTATGAAGCGTGGATGTGGGTGGTACAAGCAATTTATGATTGGTTAGGCTGGCAATTTAAATTGCCTCTCCCAAGAGATTCAGCAGAAGAAAGGGTTGCTAGCTGCTTCCATAAAAAGTCCATAGAGTTTTCCATGAGTTGGCGATGACTTCAGTAGCAAAGCCTAGTCTCTAGAGAATTGTGCTGCCAACCTAAAGGTCATCATCTCCTTCTGTGTGATTTACAGCCTCTTAAACCCCCCTGGACAATCAGCTATAAATCAATTCCAACTTGATAGTAGAGATTGAGACAGAGAGAGCATAAGACAGAGAGACAATAACACAAAAAGCAATGATATAACTTCTTTGAGACCCTGAGTCCTCAACAGTGCAATTGAGAACAATAACACCTTGTTAAGAGGATTAGAAGCAGCATGTTCATGCGTATGACATGTGATATGCTTCACCTTAGGTTAAAAGCCTTTATCAATTAAAGACTAAGGTGCACCTCATCCAAGCCATGATATTTCAATTACTTGTTATGCTTCTGAATGTTAAACAACGAGTAAGGATGACAGAAGAAGAATCCATGAATTTGAATTGTGGTGTTAGGGAAGTGTAATGAATATCCCATGGACTCCCTCAAAAATGAAACAAATCTATCTTGGAGGAAGTAGAACCAGCCTGTTACTGGCAAGGATGGTGAAACTTAGTCTCACACATTGTGGGCATATTGTTAGGAGGGGCCAGTCCTTGGAAAAAGCCATCAAGCTGGGAAAGGGGGAGGATCAGAGAAAGAATGGAAGACCCATATGAAACAGACCACACAGTGACTATAATAACAGGCGCTAACGTATCAGAGATGGGGAGGATGGCGCTGGAGAGGGCAACATTCAGATCTGTTGTTCATAGTTATGAGTTATAGTCAACGAGAAGTCACCTAAAGACAACACTTGTGGTTGACTTTGAAGCATTCCCTGGGCAGGTATTCCACACCAAGTCATGGTAATGATGTAGTTTCAGGTCTCTGGAAGATGCCACCCAGCTGTACTTGCTGTCAGTTCCATCGCTGTTCTGCTTTCATCACTCGTACTCAGCCTTCTTTTGTCGTTGCTCTGTCGAGTTGAGTACACCTTATAGTGACCTCATGAGACAGCAGGTCTGAACCCTGTTCTGTCTTGTGCCATTGTCACAATCTCTGACACACTGGAGTCATTGCTGCAGTCACTGTGTCAGTCCCCCTGGTTAAAGTTCTGCTCTCTTTCTCTATCCCTCTACCTTCGCAAGCATGATGTCCCTTTCCAAGGAACAGTCTCTCCTAGCAACTTCCTCTTCTAGCAACAAGGTTCCTTGAGTGATTGGTTAATCATTACCTGAAGCCAAATTCATTGCTTGTGCTGTTATCCAATTGGTTCTGACTCATAGTGACTTTATACATAACAACAAAATATTGGCCAGTTCTGTGTTTCCACTATGTCAACCCATCTCATTGAAGACTTCCCTCATTTTCATGGATCCTATACTCTACCAAACATGATTTCCTTCTCTGGTGATTGTTCTTTCTTTATGATGTGTCCTAAGTATGTGAGCCAAAAATCTCCCTATCCTCACTTCTAAGGAACATTCTGGTTGTATTTATACTCTGTTTTGCATTTCTTT